CCAAACAAAGTAGTTTCGCTTTCACAACTCACAACGAAGTCTCCACGACATGGCGGCAACAACAATACTACACCGAGAATAAAAGTTACACCTTCTTTCTTCTTTCTTTGCGTGAACATTTGGGTGGCGTTATGCAAATCTTCCCACATTGTGACGTAGACATGTGGGGGCGTGTTAGAACGAGCCGTTTTAGGTAGGTGTGGCTGACTTAACTTTTATAAAGAATATCTCTTTGGATTTGAGATTTTAGTCTTTGCAACTTTACAGATCTTCTTTATGCACCAAGAGCTTGTAACACTTCAAAGAGAAAGGAAAAATTTAAATCGCATCATATGACCCCTTTAAAAAAAACAAAAAACCGTTGAAGACACTATCTTATGCAAGCACCATAAAAAGTGCACCTTCTATTAACCTTTAAAAAGCTCATTTCCATTTATTAATCAAATTGTTTGTTTACATTTTTAAAAGGTTTTAAATAAGTGAAAGTCATTTTAACAAAAACAATTCACATTTGATATTTAATGATTTTATACAATTTATTGTATATTTTTTGTATATATCAAAATTGATCCAAAAATATTTCACATTTTCAAAGATTTAGTCTCTCATACATACTGTTCTCTATGTAAAATCTGACTAAAGACTACACAGGGTCAGGGTTAAATAAAAATAAAATTGTATAGCTGTAAGATATTGTTCAGCTAATTGTAAATTTTAGAAAAGACATATATTAAAGATAAGATATTATGAATTGTGAAATGATTGAACCAGGAAAAGGTCACCTTTTTATTTATTTTTATATTATTGTTTTTCCCTTTTTTACAGTAAGATTTTTTACTAAAATTGTGTTAAATAATCAATAAATTTTCAGCTACATTTTTTTCTATCATAACTTTAGGACCTGATTAAAACACTTTTCTTGAAGGTCAGTATGGGTTTTCAAATTTGTCCAAAGCACCAGATGCCTTTTCTTAGGAAAAATCGGATGGTTAAAGAGAAAAAAGCAGGGAAAAACAGACACCATGTAATGGAAAATAAATAGCATTCCCCACCAGTGTTGGGAGAAACGCATTACAAGTAACTCGAGTTACGTAATCAGATTACTTTTTTCAAGTAACTAAAGTAACGCATTACTTTTTAATTTACAAGAGAATATCTGAGTTACTTTTTCAAATAAGTAACGCAAGTTACTTTTTTTTTTTCCAATTTATTGATTGACAGCTCTCCTGTCCCCATGTTGAGAGAAATCAGAAGATGTTACTGTAGTTCTAGAAAATAATGCAACTCAGAATATGATGCAAACCTGCAATAATTAAATGTTAAACAACACAAATATCCTTTATGTATTTAATACCATTCTATTAACCAATGTCTTTGCTTCTGACCTTCGATGATCCAGTTCAGCCGTACTAATAAGCACAAATAACTCTAGACAAACATTTGTGTGTCTTTTTTTATTGCTGAAGTGTGTTGAAATGTCTTCTTCTGCATTCTACTGTATGGACGAAAATGTACTTTCCCTTCAGCCTGAGGCTTATTAATTTCACTTTTGGCGTG